TTTTTTTTTTCCCCCTGAGGCTGGCAGGTCTCACATCAAAGAAAGGGCTGTGGCAGAATTGCCAGCTTGAGTGCTGGGTTAACACTGAGAGGACTGGCTGCTTCTCTTTGCTGTTAACCGATCGTGTGACTAGCGAATGGCTGAACCCCCTCTGGCTCGGTAGTTTCCCCATCTGTAAACTGAGGAGATACCTAATATTTCTCCCACAACCAGGCTGTGGTTCTCGCAGCCTACAGACCTGGCGTTGAAGCAGAGATGAAAACACTTGTCCTAGTAACTATGTTAATGTTGCATGTTCCTTCCATGTGAAAATAATCCAAAACACAGAAATCTTCACATTTTTATAACTTTACATTTTAACATAGTTAACTGCTGGAGATCGAACACGTTTTGCAGAATGATGCAATAACGTTTTGAAGGAAATGCTGGAAACACATGGCCTAATATTTTGAAAGCCATTTAAAAATTTTAAAGCATTTCTCCAAGGCTGTAGAAAAATGTTTATTCTGGTATACAATGTGGAAAAATGTATGCCTATTACCGACTTGAGGGTAAACGGTTTAGAGCTGATTTTTAGCACTTTAAAACTTCTGGCGCTGCTAGGTTCTGCTAGAATTTATTTGGAGCTTAGAAAACCTGGAGCAGTTAGAAAATGCTTCCTTTAACAGTAATAAGGAGAAAGAGAACCAACAAACCGTGTTCCCCTTGAACATGGGAAGTGGAAAGTGGCACATTAACGGGTCGCTAATCATAGTGTCTCTTCCAACCAGCCCCCGTGTAACCCACAGCTCTGGCGCACTCGGTTCCATTTAGTGGTTTAGCGGTTAGAAGAGGTGGGAAAGGAAGCTCACCACTTTTTCTCTAAATTTCATTAATTTGGGGGTAAGTCGATTTTTACTGGTAAGTCACACAATTCAAAAACTGAAACTACATAAAAAGACACAAAGCTCTCAATCCCTCCCATGACAGAGTAGCCACCCCTCCGCCACCACCTGGCCTTACAGGTGACCCTTACGTCAGTACCTTTCCAGCGTTTTCTTTACACAAAACATGAAACGCAAGTAGAAATATACATGTGCCTTGTTCTTTTTTAACCACTTTCTTACATGGAAGGTAGCACACTGACGTGGACATGGCTCTCTCCCACATCAGTGGAAAGAGTTCCTCATTCTTGTCACGGCGGCTGGTCCCCTCTCCACTGCGTGTGGTTGTCACTGTGGGGATCCCATGGTTTATTTAACTGACCCCTTCGACAGACATTCCGGTTGTTTATAACCTTTTGTTTTTATAAACGGTAAATGCAGTGAGTCGTCGTGTACACACACAGCGATTCCCAGAAGCACGTCTGGATTACAGGGTGAATGCATTTGCCCTTCAGCTAGTTACTGCCAGATTGCCTTCAAGGGGGACCTACCAGTTTTTGTTTCTGGTCTCTGTCCCCTGTACCTTGCCAACAGAGTGTGTTGACAAACTTCTGGATTTTCTCCCCATCGAATAGGCAGGACTACAATATACAATTCCATTTGAAGCCAGATGTGAAATTTAGCTTGCCGAAATGAGGAAAAATATTTCCTGAATTCTGGAGCTGGATCTTCACCCAATTAATAATGGGATTATAGATAATCTCCCCCTGCCCAATTTTTTTTTTTTTTTTTTTTTGCTTAAATTTATCCCCACCCCTTTATAAAGCAAGTATATATTGCTTCAGAATGAAGCAATCACCAGAGCTTTAAGAGTCGTCATAACGTCACTTGATTTTTTTACATTATTGCTTTGGGTAATAAAGCGTTTGTCACTTCTTAGAGTAGTAAAATCCCTCCTTTTAAGAACCTGTTTAACCCTGATGTTTACCGGAGGAAGCTTGGGGACTGCCCATCAAGGTCATTGGGGCTGGAACTTCCACCTGGGCTTACAGTCAAGGGACCTAGTGCACGTATGGCTTCACGCACTAGGACCCCCCAACACGTGCCGAAAACTGGAAATGTCCGCCTGTTCGCTTAAAATGGAGGACATCTTCAAAGGCACCGAGATGTGTGAGCCAGGTCACCTCTGCGATCAAAGTAAGGAGACTGAATTTGGATCACCTTGTGGGACGTAACCCCAAACCACGGAGATTTAGGACAATGATGTGCGGAAGCTGGAACAGGTTAAATAGAACTGGAATTAGACCTGAAGACTCACTATTTTTCAGCTGTTCTTGGACTGTGAAGTTTTAGCCCTTGTCCTATTTTATACTGTTTCCTTAGACATATTTTTCCCCCGAAAATAGTGCTCTGAAATTAGGAGGGGCTTAGTTTAATTCAACAGACCTCAAATATATATGTACCAGGCCCTTTGTCTAGATTCTGGTGTTAAAAAGTTTAGAGTTCCAGTGTAGCAAGTAGAGCTCCTATGTATGTAGCACCATTGCGGGGTGCCAGATACATTAAACCATTCAGTTCTCACAACTGGCATCTGCAGTAAGTACTGTCCTCATCGGCTTTATTTTACAAATGAGGAAACGGGCACAGTAAAGTGACTTCTCAAGGTCACTCTGAGGGCAGAGCTGTGGTTCAAAACCCCTGGCAATCAGCCCGCTGAATCTGGGTTGTCACCTGTGATCTCTGTGTGGCCCCCCCAGCCCCCCCTTCAGGCCATTTTACCATAGTGCATTTCAGCCCTATCAGTCCCGATGCTCTTGTGAGATTACGTACAGAAAACCCTATCACACACACACACACACGCGCGCGCACGCGCACACACAGTTTCTTAGTCGATCTTTAAAGTTGGGTTTTCTGATTAGGTGTGGGTGTTGTCCCATCTTATCAGCCACATTATCTTGAGGGGAGTCCTAGTCTAAACTAAAGGACTAGCACAAGATACTCCATTTCCTTTTGGTTCAGCTGAATTCGAGCAGGAAACAATTTTCTGAACCTGGCCCCTAAAATCCTCATCTGTGCCTTGCAGGGCACCAACGTCGGCGTCACTGCCGCGGTGAGGTTGGGAAGAGGGGAGGGACCAGGCTGTCTTCGCTTTGAGGGCCAGCTAGCTGTAGTAAATTCCCCAGGACCAGAGTGGGGTGGACCTGGGCAGCAGCTCCTTCTCCCTAAAGCCAACCAACTCCGAGAACTTGAGCCCCCAACCTGGCGTCTTCCCTCACGGCTGGTGGAGCAAAGTTTTCCGTGAAGAAAACAAAAACACGTGAAAATATTTTGAAAACCACAAGACATACATACTACAACTGGAAGCTATCGTCACTTTTACCAGGAAAAGCATCTTTCAGAATTTGAATGGTTTTCTCTGATTGTGAAAAGAGATTTATTTTTATTAGTTTGTCTCTAATGTCTGCACAAGAACTGTCATTGATGTGCTCTACAGTTGACTGTGAGAGGAGATCAAATTGAAAACTTGAAGTTTGAGATAAAATAGCTCAGGAAGGATACATGCAACCCACAGCTTAATATTCCCATTCAGTGTGCGGGAGGGAGGAAGGCAGACCGGCAAGTTCAGGGTCAAGCGCTGAGCTTGGACTTCCAGTGGAGTGCCTAGGTGCCTTTCACAGAGGAGAAAAAGCAGAATCCGGGCAGACAAGAGACCCTGGCTCGAGCTCTCTCTGTCCTTGTAACGTTTGGGCAGGCCTGTCCCTCGGGATTTGGGGAAGGAATAAGGCTCTGCCAACAAAAAGGGCCTCCTCGTGTGCCCGCTGTCTGGTGTCCTAATTACGTGGCTTTGGGCTCCCCGGTCCCCATGACCCCTCTGTATTGCAAAAAGTCCCCTGCCCATGAGAACGGGATGTGTGTGACAACTCTCATCCCTCGTTGGTCCCTGAGCTCATCTCTGATTTGGGCTTCCCCTCAGGCCTCGCTCCCCAAGCTTTTCGGGGACCTCAGTATAACAAGCACATGGTCCACACCTGTGGAGGGCAAGCTTAGCAGACATTTTCAAATGCAGCGAATAAAAGGAAACAAACCCCCTAAACTGTGGGGTCGTCCCATGAAAGCCTTAGTCCTTTAGAGCTGACATCGGCGACCTTCTTTGAGAAAGTAGTTACAGAGGTTACTAAGGTGATCTGACCAAGAGTCTACCCCACACCTCGACTGTTAGGTCACCGCTGCGGTGCACAGGAGTGGGAGTGGGAGGGGACACACATGGTTAAATAGATCTGAAAACAACAATTCGGTGGGGGCGGCAGCCTTGACCTCTCCCCGCCGCCCTTTTGTTAAAGACAAAGGCGAAATAGCCAGCGCAGTGTTCCCTGGAACTGCCAGATGCTAAGAGTCTCCCCAGAGCACCTGTTACACACATCCCGGGCGCCTCCGCCGGAGTTCCACGGGGCTGGAGCGGGACCTGGGAATACGTGTTTCACAGTAACCGTGAGCCGAGCTCCCAAATTAGGGCCTTCTCATAAAAAGAATGCAGTTTCGTGCAGTCTGGCGCTCAAAGGTACTATCCCACCCCCAGCATAAACAGTCAAGTCGGAAGCGCTGCCCTCGCTACGCCAGAAACGTCCCATTCCCTCCTCTCTCCTTACGTCTTTTAACTGTCACCATCCGTGACCGGCAGCGGGCGCGGCCTCCCGCGGTCCCCGCGCGGGGAACGCGCTGCGCCCGGAG